TGTGTGTTTGTGTGTCATGGTGTTTCTGTGCTTGTGCTTGTGTATGTGTATGTGAATGTGTGTGTTCTATTGTGCGTGCGTGTGTGAATGTGTGTATATGTGTGTGTGGGGGGGGATAGTGTGTGTTGTGCTGGTGTATGTGTATGTGTATGTCTGTGTGTGTATTGTGCTAATGTGCGTGCGCGGCCGTGTACCCATGTGCACACAAACACATACTCACACATGGGGTGTATGTAAAATCAGCCTGTGGGCTATGCCTTTACTTAGTTCACCAAGCTGAAGTAGGGAATTGTGTAGTACTTCGTGTTTTGATTTGTTAAAAGAGAAGTGCAAGTAGCTCTGAGCAATTCTAATACATACTGACAGATCAGTATCACAAGCCAGAGTACAGTCATCATATTTTTATGAGAAATGAAAACTCACCACTGCAGATTCTCCTAGTCTTTCCTCCACCAATACCCACCCTCGTTTAAGGGTACTCGAACCTTCTGCTGTAATGACCACCTGTCCAAGACAATCATTAGTTGAAGAAAGATAAGGGTAGACCCAAAAAATATTGCAGCAAAAATTAAACTCTTATGATTCGACTGATAGAATTGCGTGTAATCACAATAAAAATCGGCGTTCGAAATCGTGGAGGAAATTGTTTCAAAAAGCGTTAGAAGTTGTCAGAAAAACATAATTTATTTTACGACCAAACCGGTTTATCATACTTGCTTTGATGCGAGAATTTTTACGTAATTTGTACAGATTTTCCCGAATATGAGGTACTGGTCATCGGTATAGAATCTGTGCTTTTACCAAGGAGGTTACAGTAAAAATACGGGAAGCCAATATTGTACATCTGTACAAAAGACCACTCCTTTATTCCTCCCTTGGTTTTTGCCTATTATATTATAACGAGACTCCCCAAGACACCCACACCTGTCTAAGATGACCCCTTTTTTCCTCGACGATTGGAGGCCTTCTTAGACTATTTCGACTGTATTATCCTGGGGTTGTTTTTTTTTACTTATGCCGGCGGGTGGTTGGCGGGTGCTCTAGTGTAGTTTACTCCTTCTTTCCTATCAAACATCCATCGTCCTCACTCTCCTTTTTTGTGTTTGTTACTCTCTTGTAACTCTTCTAATCTTCGGTATTTATATTTCCTTTCGAGTGTGTTGGAAGTGTCGTAAAACTCTTACTAAAACTAAGTTAAACTCACCGCATTCCACAGGGTATGGGGTCGAGTACGACTTCATGGACCCACGACAACTCAAGCCCAGCCTGGAGACCCGGCTAGTGGCCAACTTGTACTTTGCAGGGCAGATCAACGGGACTACTGGCTATGAGGAGGCAGCCGCTCAGGTAGTATTATGTTGCTATTCTGCTTGTTTTTTTAATTGTTATAGTGCCTTTTTTCGGTTGTTGTTTTTTTTTTGGGGGGGGGTCCCTTGTCCCGATTTGGTGCCAGATATTTGTAAGTAGCTTAGACAATGTATCAGCACAGTAATGGTAGTAACTGTTATCTTCAAGGAAAATGAACAAAAGCAAAAAGATAAATAAATAAATAACTGGAAACTGGACATTTTTTGGAAGATGATGGTGAAGAGGATGAGTATGAAAATGATCTTGATGTTGATGATGGATTTAGTGCCTTCAACTGACGTATGTGGCGTGATGGTGATGCTCTTGTATGGTGGTTGCTTGTAGAAGACTTGAGTTCAATAGTGTTTCGAAATTGTTCGCCCCTTGTGGTCAGCTTCTGATCGGACATATTATATTATGTCCTCTACGTCTTCATGTAGTTAACCCTCTCTATCTCTACCCCCCCCCCTCACTTTCCTTCTCCAGAGTATCATGGCTGGCTTCAAAGCTGGCTGCGTATAAGATTTAGGACAAGTATGTAAGATGGTTCAAAATGGTGTGGAAAATTGCCTTTGTGATCAGTTTCTGATCGGACATATTTGTCAATTGTCGATTTATGGAGTCAACTCTCTTTAACCCTCTCCCTCCCCCCTCCTCCCACTCCACCCCAGGGTATCATGGCTGGCATCAACGCAGCGTGCCAGGTCCAGGCGAAGCCTCCACTAGTGGTGAGCCGCACTGAGGGCTACATCGGCGTGCTCATCGATGACCTCACCACGCACGGCACCAATGAGCCGTACCGGATGTTTACCTCACGGGCAGAGTTCCGCCTCTCTCTCCGGCCGGACAATGCCGACATCAGGCTTACCTCAAAAGGTGAAGTCTTCTTCTTCTTCTTTTTCTTCTTCTTCTTCTTCTTCTTCTTCTTCTTCTTCTTCTTCTTCTTCTTCTT